TATATATATATATATATAGTTTAAAGGAATAGTTCAAAAATGTGAAGAATGCTGGTGTCCAAATATATATAATTAATTGTATGGGAAAAATATAGCAACTGAGACCATTTTGAAATTATCCACAGAAGACTATCACTTTAAATTATTAGTTATTGAGGCTGACCAGACTGTAGAGGAGATTTTTCGGGTTGAGATTCTGCAGATTGATTTGGGACTGATGTCTGGTTAATGTTACGCTGCTGATCTATAATAGAAACAAAGAGCATTATGGTCACTTAAGAGTATCTGCAGTGATTACAGTGACTCTATAGGCTGAAATGTAGGTATTATCATGAGCCTTTATTCATAAACTGTATCTTTCATTTGTTGCTGTTCAGTTGTATTAATCATGTCATGAACTGCTCCACACCTTTGTTCTTCTTGTATCTCCACAGCAGCAGCAGTGAGATGAAGAACAACAAGCAAACACTCAATCCCACAACCACACCAGTGACCAGAAGAGAAGATGAAGCTGCGAGACAGGACAACATGACAAACATGCAGATCTATTAGTGAGTGACATACTGCATTATACTATTACAAAGGTGCATAAAATCACTCAATATACCCAGACCTCTGACTGAGATCCAGCTGTGCAGTGACTGTCCTCTCTCTGTTTTACAGTAGTAGAAACCCTCACGTGACTTTGAGACAGTCGTGATGCTCATCTCTCCTGTTGTCTGATTCTGGACGAGGGATCCGTCTTTATAGAAATCAGCTCCGAGGATCGGGGAGTTTGTAGATCGATGTAAACAGTGTAGAGTCAGAGCATCTCCCTCAATCACAGGATCAACAGAACTCTCCAGAATCACATCACCATCTACACAACACACAAAAAAATGTGTGCTTACTGCAAATAGTAAGAATATATTTTAAAATACATAGCTAAAAATGTTGCTATCTTACGAACTGAATTTTACTTAATGTTTCCTGTGCTTTATGCACTAGTCCAACCCAAGCATAAAGGTCCATCCCTAACCCTAACCACCTGTGTAAAAAGATTGTATAAAAATGTGACACTGGAGCACAAAACCAGTCATAAGTAGCACAGGTATATTT